ATTGTTCAGGTCACTTTCATGTTGTCAGTATCCTTCCTAAAACAAGGCACTCTGAAATGAACATATCAGAGGTATGATCTGCCCAGCATACAGTCCAGTCCAACCACAACCACAGTCTAGACATAACACCTCTTTTCAACACTTCTTGTTTTCTGTCATGCTTGTATAGCGTTGCATATCAGTTATAAGCCCCATTAAAATAGGGACTACATTTTCTATTTTATTCCTCTCTGCTTGCTTGTACCTTGTCTAGCACTGTCATGTTCGTTTAATGGGTGCTTAATGCATGCTGACCCTGTCATTCTTTTGCTTTTCCAAGAGTAGCAGAAATTTTAGGGTGGTGGAGCCCAGATGAAGGGGTAAAGGCAGGGATTTGCCTGAACTCTCCTCCAAACCCCTTCAAATACCTTTAAAAAATAATTCTAAACAAATTCTAGAGCATCAGAATACACAAAAAGATGGAGTGAAACAAATTTCCTGGCCAAGAAAACTTGGGAAGAGAAATGAGTGTAATGCAAGAAAATCATGAAAAATGAGTCAACTGCTTGCTGAAGGAAACTGAAAAAAAAATACTGAAGAAAATAACACTTAAAAAACAGACAGACCAAATGATAAAAAGGATCCAAAAAGCCAAGAAGAATACCTTAAAATGAAGAATTGGCCAAATGGAAGAGGAAATACAAAAACTCACTGAAGAAAATAATTCCTTACAAATTAGAATTGAGCAAATGGAGGCTAATGACTTCACGAGAAATCAAGAAACAATAAAACAAAACCAAAAGAATGAAAAAAAAAACAGACAATGTGAAAAATCTTATTGGAAAATAAACTGACCTGGAAAATAGATCCAAGAGAGATAATTAAAAAATTATTGGACTACCTGAAAACAATGATCAAAAAAAGAGCCCAGACATCATCTTTCAAGAAATTATCAAGGATAACTACTCTGTGATTCTGGAACCAAGAGGGTAAAATAGAAATTGAAAGAATCTATCAATTACCTCCTGAAAGAGATCCTAGAATGAAAACAATGCCAGGAGTATTATAGCCAAATCCCAAAGCTCTCAGGTCAAGGCAAAAATATTGCAAGTATCCAGAAAGAAATAATTCAAGTATGGTATAGCCATAGTCAGGCTAACACAAGATTTAGCAGTTTCTATATTAAAGGATCAGAGGGCTTGGAATTAATGTTCTGGAGGGCAAAGGAGCTAGGATTACAACCACTGAACAAAACTGAGTATAATCCTTTAGGGGAACAATAGACATTTAAGGAGATAGAATGCTTTCAAGAATTCTTGATGAAAATACCAGAGCTAAATAGAGATTTTGATTTTCAAATATAAGACTCAAGAGAAGCATAAAATGATAAACAGGAAAGGGAAATTTTAAGGGACTGAATAAAGTTAAACTGTTTATATTCCTACATGGGAAGATAATAGTTGTAACTCATAAGACCTTTCTCATTATTAGGGTAGTTAGATGGAGGGCATAGGTGTGAGTTGAATATGAAGGGCTGATATCTAAAAAATAAAATTGAGGGGTGAAAGAATAATATGCTGGGAGAAAGAGAAAGGGAGAGGTAGAATGGAGTAAATTATCTCACATGAAAGAGGCAAGAAAAAGCTTTTACAATGGAAAGAAATAGGTGGAAGGTAAGGGGATGTGAGTGAACCTTACTCTCTTCAGAACTGGATCAAAGAGGGAATAACAACTCAATTGGGTATAGAAAACTTTTACCCTACAGGAAAGTAGGAGAGGAAAGGGAGAAGAGAGTGGGGGGGTGTTGATAGAAAGGAAGGCAGATTGGGGTAAGAGTGGTCAGAAGCAAAACATTTTTGAAGAGGGACAGGGTAAAGTAGAGTATAGAATAAACAGAAGGGGAATATAAAGGAGGATAATACAGTTAGCAATAGTAACTAAAAAAAATGAATCAAGCTTCTCTGATAAAGACCTCATTTCTCAAACATATAGAGAACTGAGTCAAATTTATAAAAATGAGAGCCATTCTCCAATTGATAAATGATCAAAATGTATGATCAGTTTTCAGATGAAGTAATCAAAGCTATCTATTAGCTATATGAAAAAATACTCTAACTCACTACTGACTGGAGAAATGCAAATTAAAACAATTCTGAGGTATTACCTCATACCTAGTAGATTGGCTAATAGGATGAAAGAGGTAGATGACAAGTGTTGGAGATGATATGGGAAAAATGGGACATTAATGCATTGTTAAAGGAGTTGTGAACTGATTCAACCATTCTGCAGAGCAATTTGGAACTATGCCCAAAGGGTTATAAAAACCGTGCATACTCTTTTACCTAGCAATACCACTACTAGGTCTGTATCCCAAAAGACATAAAAAAAAAGCAAAAAAGGAAAAAGACTTATATGTACAAAAATATTTATAGCAGCTCTTTTCTGGGGGAAAAGAAGTAGAAATTGAGGGGATGCACATCCACTGGGGAATGGCTGAACAAATTGTGGTATGTGATTATGATAGAATACTATTGTGCCATAAGAAATGATGAGCAGGATGCCCTCAGAAAAACCTGAAAAGACTTACATGATCTGATACAAAATGAAACCTACTGTGTACAAAGTAACAGCAATATTTGTAAGATGATCAGCTGTGAATGACTTAGCTATGTTCAGTAATACATCGTCCCAAGACAACTCCATAGGACTTATGATGACAAATGCTATCCATCCCCAGAGAAAGAACTGATGGTGTCTCAATACAGATTGAAGCACACTTTTTTAAACTTCATTTTTCTTTATTTTCTTTTGGTCCGTGTTTTCTTTCACAACATGACTATTCTGGAAATGTTTTTCATGACTACACATGCATAACCTATATTGAATTTCTTGGCTTCTCAATGGAGGGGGTTGGGAAGGGTGGAAGGGAGAGAACTTGGAACTCAAAGTTTTAAAAACAAATGTTAAAAATTGTTTTTCCATGTAACATGAAAAATAAAATACTAAATAAATAAGCAAAAATTTAAAAACAGACAATTTCTGGCTGAGGAGCGAATAAATTGTTATTACAAATAAGGTTACAGGAGCATATACATTAGAAGTGAAAGAGAGCCGGTTAGATTTAATAGCCTCAAAGCCCCTCATTTTACAGATGAGAGAAGTGAAGCCCAGAAAGGGTCATAGATTGTAAATGCAGATAATGCAAATTTGGTAGGGATTTCTATGACAGATCCAAAGCTCACATTTCACAGATGAGAAGTGACTTAACCAAAGGTACACTTAACCAAAGGTATATCAGAGTCAGGTTTTGAAACTAAATCTTATGACCCAAATCCAGTACTTTAATATATTTTTTTGTTTTGTTGTTCAGTTGTATCTGACTCTCTGTGACCCCATTTGGGGTTTTCTTGGCAAAGATACTATAGCGGTTTGCCATGTCCTTCTCCAGCTTATTTTATACACGAGGAAACTGAGGCAAACAGGGTTAAGCGACTTGCCCAGGGTCACACTAGTAAGTGTCTGAGGCCAGATTTGACACAGGAAGATACGAGTTTTCCTGACTTCTGGCCCTGCATTCTATCCACTGGGACACCTAGCTGCCCTTTAATATACTATTGTTCAGTCTTTTTCAGTCTTGCCCAAATCTCTGTGACTCTGTTTGGGGTTTCTTGGTAAAGATTCTGCAGTGGCTTGCCATTTCCTACTCCTGCTCATTTTATAGATGAGCAGCTGAGGCAGACAGCGTTAAGTGACTTACCCAAGGCCTCACAACTAGTAAGTATCTGAGACTGGATTTGAATTTATGAAGATAGTCTTCCTGGCTCCAGGCCCAGCCCAGATGGCCCTCTTTATCTCTATCTCTACTCTCTATCTAAATCTATATTAATATACTACACTGCCTTAGAGCTACTTCATAAGAGGGTCACCAACACCTGGGAGTAAACAGTTAAAGTGCTTTTTTTTTCACTTCTTTCTCAAAGTTTCTTTCCTCCAAGAACAACCTAGCAGCAGCTTGGGATAAAGGCTTGTTAAATACTTGGCAAGTATCCACGTAGTGGCAAAACGTTGCTTCCGTGATGGGAATGTTGGATATAATACTGCATGTGATACTGTCTCTGGCCTCAAACAGCACTAATTTATACTTTTTTAGTTTCCCCTCCCCCTGGCTCCCTTTTCTTGGTTTTCTTATTGCTGAAGTGGTTTCCTGGTGTGGACATGAAGTGATTCAGTACCCTTTCTGACTGCAGTGTGAGCCTCATCATCATGTGAATTTGTAAGTATGAAAACTGAGGTCAGACCCTGGAGGCTCAACTACTTCTGCAACCTGTGTGACCTGAGGAAAGTCATTTACTGTCTCTGGGCTTATTTCCTAAGATAGAAAACAAAAGGAGTAAAACTAAATGATCCTTAAGGTTCTCCAGCTCTCCAAATCTATCTTTTGAATAGGAAGTAAACTTTGTAAGGGGCATACTGCTCCTAAGTGAGTTCCCTGGAATCCATCTTTTCATACCTCTTTCAAGAAAAAAAAAAGAAGGGAGGGATGGAAGCTAGCAGATCTCTAGAGCTGCAGAGTTCTGAGCTGCATTCGGCTTATGTTGATCAGGGCCCCTGCTCTAAGTTGGAAATTTATGTGGTGGGCAGACAGGCTCTGGATTGCACAAATGTTGATCAGGACAGGGGTCAGGTCTGTGAACTGCCTCCATATTTCCAGACTGAGCAAGATAAGGAGACCGAGCCTTAATTTTTTAAAAAACAAACCAATAGACAGAGAAAAAGAAGAGAGAAAGGGGAAACCTAGCTAATACCTCTTTCAGGGCTTTTGTTCCTCATCTGTAAAAGGAGGAGGGTTGAATTTCCTAGCCTCTGAGGTCCCTTCTATCTCTAGATGTGTGATCCTTTACTTTTGAATCAATTTTGGTCAAAGATCAGAGAAGAGAAATACATAATGGTAGCAATCTAAGCAATACAACTTGGACACCATTGCCCTTTGGAATCTTCTTCAGCACTCTATTGTTTCCAGGACCTGCTACTGAGTAAGTTTACAGCGGTAAACTTCAATGCCTTTAACTCTAAGTCCAGTATAATCATTTCACCCTAACTGGCTTCACCTGTCCAGGTGATTCTTGTGGTCTTTTTTGACTTTGGTTTTCCCATTATTTTTTTATCTTATGCAGAATGCCCGCAATCATCCTTCCCTCAGTGGTGTGTATGGGTCACAGCCACACACTGTATTTCTCCTCCTGTAGCCCCCTAGTCTACATTTTCACAGATAGCTGGCATTTCCTCTTCATTTCCCTCAAGTATCTTATTCCACTCTTGAAGCACCTTGGCCTCCTCTCGAAGGGCTCTCTCCTCCTCCTGCAGGGCATTGTTCTCCTCCCGGAGAGCCTTATTCTCCTCCCGAAGAGCATACTCTTCCTTCCACAAAGCTTGCTCTTCCATACGCAGGGCCCTGCCCTCCTTCCACAGGGCCTGCTCCTCCATATTCAGGGCACTTTCCTGGTGCTGGAAGGCCTTGATCTCCTCATGAAGGGATTTGATCTCTTCTTGAAGAGCTTTTTCCTCATTTTGGAAAGCTTTCTCCTGCTCCTGGAGAGCCCTGATCTGCGCCTGAAGGGCTCTATTCTGTTCCCAAAAAGCTTTTTTTTCCTTATTCAAGGCATTACTTTTTTCACCGAGGGCTTTTTTGTTCCCCCAAACAATCTTCTTCTCCTCCCAGGAGATCTGATTTTGTTGTCTAAGGAACTGATTTGCTTCCCGAAGTCCCTGGTTTTCTATTCGAAAGGTTTTATTTTCTCCTCGAAGAGCCCTGTTTTCTATCCAAAGGAACTTATTCTCCTTACGCAGTGCTTTGTTCTCATTCCGAAATAGTTTGTTATCTCTCCAAAGATTTTTTTTCATCTCATGCTGCTGCTGTTGCTGCTGCGGCTGCTGCGGCTGTGGCTGTTTATTGTGGTGCTGCTGTTGTTTACAGTGACGCTGATGTTGCTCGTGAAAGAAAGAGAGAAAAGAGAAAAAAATGCGGGACAGCTGCCCCTTATTGATCCATCTGAAACCCAAGACAACCATTTCTTCACTTTTATATGAGGATTAAAATAAAAGCTACTTAACTTCGTTCATATGCTGAATTCCACCAAGGAAGAAATGAGGTTTTGTTGTTTTTAAGGAGAAAGTGGAAATGTCATAATTTTATAGAAAACAGAAGCCTTTGATATGAATCAGATTGTAGTTGTTTGGTTCTGAACTGGTATCTAATATTGGTAGCTTTGGCAAAGACTAGTATGGCAGCAATCTAAAGCAACGTTCATTCAGTCCCACTGTCAAAGAAAATAATGAAAAGAGAAACCAAATGTATATTAATAATTATGTAAACATATATGCATAATTCTAAGAATGTGGAATGAATATATACAAATTTCATTCTAGTTGCTTTTTGCTAGTACATTGTTAGTTCTTTTTTCAAATATCTTCCTGCTAAACTATTAATTTCCTTTAACCCTAGGGCCTACTTCTTGTTATAGCATTAAAACATACTTTATTAGATTTTTCCTGGTTTCATAAAGACTAAACAATTCATTTAGGAGGAGGATAATATATCATCCTACCAATTCTAATTAATATCTTATTAGCTATACTAAACATAAGCTAGCAGTCACTGCTTACATTTGTGTTGTCTTCGAATTCCCCTGGAAGTCTTAGGCTTTTGAGTGCAGGGAACAGTCAGCAGTTAGGTCATCTATAGTGATGTCATTTACAAGTGTTGACAATGCTGCTATAGTGAATGCAAACTGTAACGACTGCCTATGTTTTGTCCCAGTCCATGGCCACAGGAAAGAGAGTGAACATACACAAGATGAACTAATTTTTAAAAAAATGTTGATAATGATTCCTTTCCTCTAAATTTATCTTGTATCTACTTTGTATGTATCTTTTATGTATGTATGTATATGTATATATATATATATATATATATATATAGTTGGACTTGTGTTTACATGTACATTGTCTCCCCGAAAAGATTCAAGGCCCATGAAGGCAGGGAATTTTTTTTTGCTTTTTCTTTGTCTTGCTACTGCTTAGTCAAGTTCCCATCACACAGTAGATGCCTCGTAAATGTTTGGTTATTGACTGATGTGGAAATGAAGGTAAATTTATGTGATTAGGTATGTTTCTCCATATGTCAAAAGCTTATAATAAATTATTTAGTCTCTGAGATCATCTACTATTGCAAGGGTTCTTAACCTGGGGTATGTGAACTTTTTAAAAAAAATATCATTGCATTTCAAAATAATTTCCTTTGTTATCCTGTGTATTTTATAAATTCAGAAGCATTATTTTTAGACTGGGATCGTATGCTTCACTAGATGGCTAAAGGGGTCCATTGCACACAAAAAGTAAATTTCAAAGGAGAAAGGGAAGAAGGAAGGAAGATAAGAAGGAAGGAAAGAGGAAAAAATGGAAGGAAGGAAGGGAGGGAAGAAGGAAGAAAAAGGGAAGGAGGAAGGGAGAGAGGGAGATGAAAGGAGGGAAAGAGAAAGGCTATGAATGATTTTAATAACATGTAGGTACAGTACACCCTAAATTAAACATTACATATGGAACACGTGCCTAGTTTGTGATTCTGTTTTCTTTTACTTTGCTCTCATGTCTATGTCTAGACAGAATCAGAATCTCGAAGGACCTCAGAGGCCATGCAGTCCAACACACACCTGAACAAGAATAACAACCCCAAGGACTTTTTTTTTTTAAGACTTGCAGTGGGGAATCCACTCCAGGGAGAGGCGTCCCACTTTGGGGTGCTCTGTTAGGAGCTGTTTCCTTACACCAATCAGAAATCTTCCTCTCTGCAATTTTCACCAATTACCCCTACTTCTGTCTTTTGGTGTCAAGCAGTATATCTATCTATCTATCTATCCATCTATCTGTCTGTCTATCTATTTATCTATCTGTCCACATATATATATATATATATATATATATATATATATATATATATATATATTATGTACTTGTATTTATTTATATATATATACACATATATACACACACACACACACGCATATATATATATATATATATATATATATATATATATTCCACACATATATGTGTGTGTATGTGTATTATATATGTGTGGGTATATATATATACGTGTGTAGATAGATATGTGTGCATGTGTGTGTGTGTATAATCTCTTTTCCATATGCCTGCCCTTCAGTCAAATACTTGAAGGCATCCAACAATCAATATGTATTGTAAATAAGAAAAAAAAAAGACTACTTAAAGGATTACTTTATACTTCTTATTTCATTATTTATTAATTGACAGTTTTATGCATCACCTTTGTCTCTGAGCTCTTACTTCAATAGACTAGCAGGATGCTGGTGCCAGGGATTTGATTCTCATAAAACCCAATTTACCTTCACAAATTGGGGCAGGGTTTCATTCCATGGGCACTGACTATACTTCTAAATCTAGTCAGTTATTCTTCACTATAATACAGGTAGGAAAGTGGGACTATCTTAATATAAACCTATTGACTCTGCAGAAGAACAACCCAAAAAAGATATTTACTGAAAGGAGCATGGGTTGCTGGTATCATCATTTTATATGCAGGCTTTACATGACTTGGATGTTATACCATAAAAATAAATAATAAAAAATGAAAAGAGCATAACAGGATGTTGATTCAGAATAAATCAATAAAGCATACAGTATAATGATACCAGTAAATTCTGTACCCTTTCAATACCATGTGTGGAATTCTTAGGGTATTTTGCAGATGGTTCTCTTATTGGTAAAATTCTGGGACAGGAAATATCAAAGTGCAATTATATCACCCTCTTTCTGTACTGAGCTATGAATTCACTCAGGAGACAATGGTACTGGACCTGAATTTCAGAAAATCTGAGTTCAAATCTAGCATCAGACTCTTATCACCCCAGGCAAGTCACCTAACCACTTTCTGCCTTAGTTTCATCACTTATAAAATGGGGATAATAATAGTATCTATTTCCCAGGGTTGTTGTGAGAATAGAATGATGTAATATTTGTAAAGTACTTTGCAAACATTAAAGTATTATATAAATGTAAGTGGTTGTTGCTGGTGTTACAGAACAAAGCATGATGGATCTTGACTGAGAGCACCTGGTTCAAATCTGCCCTTTGATACATATGAAGCCTAGACAAATCGTCTCATCCCTTCCAACCTCAGTTTCCCTATGTATAAACCGAGGAGGCTGAACTAGAAGTGTCTCTGGAGTCCTGTCTAGTTGTAGATCTATGATCCTAGAATCAAATGTGTTTCCTTTAATGGTCTTACAATGGTTTTACTTCCTCATAACTAATCTCTCTGATTGACTAACGACATTTTAAGTATGTATTGTAATCAAACTAATAAAAAATTGGGTAACCTCAAAATAAGATCCCATATCCAGATGTAGAATTACTGATTTGAACATGTTGCCAGACTTTTAGCTATTCCTAGCTCATTCCTATTTTAACAAGTTTAAAAAATGAGGGTCTTAGAGCTTTGATATAGACCTACTATAGATCTGTGCAGTAAATTTACCATAACAACTGCAGTAGGAAGAATAAGAAGAATGACATTAATAGGAGATAGAAAAATTAGGATAGTGCCTCTATTAACATGAAAAGAGAGAATTTTAATGCCTTAACTTACCAAGACTGAAATATGTGCAGAATTGTCCAGATCTGGAGTTAAAATAAGCCTGGATTTTATCTAAAGTGCCATATTTACTTGATCCTAATGTTACTACTTATGCGGTAGTTGGTGCTGCCATGGTAGCTAGGAATTCATACTCAATGTTAAAAAATAAAGAATTTTCTGAGGGTTCCATTTTAGAACAGTATTTCCTTGGTTTTAAAGATGACTAGGGCAAATGCCTTATATTTTTCAAGAATGTAGCTTTGTCATTTTTAATAAGAAATTCCTAGACCATCTGTGAGCTTGAGTTTATACCTGAATAACATTTTAGCTTCAAATACTTAAGACTTTAATAGATTAGAAAAGTTTTGGAGTTCCTTCCATCCTTCTCCATTACTTTTACAAATTTCTTGGAACTCTGAAAGCAAAGTCTCTGATTTATTTCAACAGGGTCTATTTCATATCACTGTGAACAATATATGTATTTTAAGATGGATATCTACTTGCCTTTGTGTTTTATGAAATGAAATGATATTGTAGAGTGGACAAAGTTAGTGCTGTCATGGCTCTTGATAAAAGATATTAGAAGGTGGGGACAAGATGAGAAATAATAAATAAACTATGCTTATAAGCAATAGCTTTGTTTTCCCTCTGAGTTTATCTATAATTTACCCTCTATCTATCTATCTATCTGTCTATTTATCTATATGTTGCTTGTTCAGTTGTTTGCATGTTGTCTTTCCCACATTTGATTGTGAGCTTGAGGACAGGGCTTGTCTTTTGCCTTTTTTTGTGCCAGTAAGTACTTAGCTCAGGACCTGAAACATAGTAGGCGCTTAAATGCTTGTCTGTCAATGAACATTTATTAAGCACATATGAAACCTAGACAAATCGTCTCATCCCTTCCAACCTCAGTTTCCTTATGTATAAACTGTTTCAGGCACTGTGCTAAAACCATTGACTTGACTGTAATATCCTAGGGAGCAGGGGTTATTTCTTTGCTTTTGTTTTGTTTTGTTTTTTGTCTTTGTATTCCTGGCACCCTGCCTATTGCCTGATACAGAGTAGGTTCTTAATGAGTGTGTGGCGATTGAATGTGAAGATTCATACAGTTGATGTTTCATGTTGACTTTCTTGAGATGTACATGATGGAATTTAATGGACAATAGAAAAACATCAAAAGCCCTAAGTTGTACCCAATAGGGGCTGCATCTAACTATATTATTTATATTTTATTAATACACAAAATCACAGACTTTGAACAGAACTCTGAGGCCATCTATATGGTCCCTACATAAATAAGAATAACCTCAGCATGTACCCAAATGTTCCTATTTAGGCTCTACTTAAAGACAGGCAGGAAGGGATAACATTACCACTTGAGGAGACTCATCATTTTGAACAGTTTTAAATGGTAGCAAATTTTTTTATTTTGTTTTTTCCTCCCCTTACCTTAAGCTTAAATAGTCTTTTCCCCCCCTAACTCCCACCTATTAATCCTAGTTCTGAATTCTGAAGTAGGATCCAAATAGAGCATATTTAAGCCACTTAATATGTGGCATCACGTAGTGGAAAGATTTGTGTCAGAGAAAGTAGTTAAATCCTAACTCTGAAACTTACGACCTATGTGACCTTTCACAAGTCACTTTACCTTGACAGTACCTGTTTCCTTAGCTATAAATGAAAGAGTTGGACCTGATAACTTCCAACATCTTCTCTACCTTGAAATACATAGTATTATCATTCTAGGATTAATATTGACTTATTTGAACAAGAAACCAAGTCATTGGGAGTAGGGCTGGGACACCAAAGCTAGAGTGAGGCCATTGATGTTGACTCATTGTTGAGCCAGATAACTAGTAATGTGAAGGCTTCTTACATTTCAGCTGCTAGGGTCAGAGTTGAAAATTAAGTAAGGTTTAGAGAGAGTCACTATGATTAATTTTCCTTTCAATTCCAAAAACTTATATCATTTAATATTTAAAGTAATATTTTAAAGGAAAGAAAAGCTTATTTTA